AGGTATGTCCCTGTTTGTTTCTAACCATGTTATTACTGTATAGATGTGGTTGGAATATGTATCTGGTGGAAAGTCAAGCTTTCATTTTTGTTCTTTTCCTTCCTCTCAGCTACAATAACATTTCAGGTTTTCTCCACAATTTTCTTCTTCATTTCCCGTGCACCTGCATGGCAGCAGGTGGGGAAAGCACTGACATCATTCTATCTGAATGCTTGCTTGTCGAAATGGTTTTTGAAAGAAACTTCACTGATTCATGACCTACCATAACTGGTTTTGAATACTAAAAAAAAAATAAAATTATGATGGTTGGCAATCAGATTCTTTTCATAAAGAAAAGATTTAATTTTATATGAAATCATTTTTACAAGTCAAAAGAAAATAGTAAATATTAAATACTCTCTTTGCTTTGGGACACTGATTTTTATCACTGCCCTTAAACGTCCATTCTCTTCCCACACCCAGTGTATAACTCACATTTTTTGGAAGGATTTCAGATGTTAAGTTTTGTATGCTGCAAGTATAAGACCGAGCCTCTTGATGTTTTGACTCTCGGTGTTTCAAGAATGTTGGGCAAAGTTAGTGCTGTGGCATTTCAGGGATGAGTTTTTGAATGGTTTTTGAGCAAGTTATTTAGAATAATTTCTAAAAGGAATGTTTGTCTGTTTTTACAATCATGCTTTTGTTCTGTTTTGGAAGAGAAAAACTTAGTGTAAAAAAGAAAAGTAGAGGAACTTGATTCTGAAAGCCTATTTTGTATACTTTCCATTGCAGTGTAAAAAATTTGGTGTTGTTGTAGAAACAATTTTGTATGCTCTTGAAGTACAAAGTTACCACTTTTACAGTACAAAATTCAAAACTACTGGGAAAAAATCAGAAGAGTTTCAGTAAAATTTCATGCTGATCGTTTTTTCCAACACTTGCAGGAATGTACTTGCTAGAGCAAAAGTGGTATTCAAATTGCACGGGAGAGGTATGAGCTGTGTTGACTGCATGAGAAGGATTGTGCAATAGATGACTTAGCAGCATAGCTTTATTTCTCAGTGTACAAAAGATTGTGTAAAAAATCTCTAGCTATTCTCAGGCCTCTTTGCCACCTAGATTTGCTACTGCCATTGAGCGTGGCTGTAATATTCTATCCAAAATAAAAGGTAATTGCAAGCATAACTAAAGATCTATGAGGCGAATGTTTTTAAGCCAGTATATGGTGTAGACATTTTTGCCATTTGTTCTGAATCTTTCCTTGAGAGTTTTCTAGAAGCTTTATCACACTTGTTGATTCTTATTTGTGTCTTACAACTGTTACAATTTGTCAGCTTGGACTTGGCCATACTAACCATGTCAGAGAACCAACCCTAATAACAGTCCTGCAAGGAAAGAATATTCGGCAAATTTCAGCAGGACGTTGCCACAGTGCTGCCTGGACAGCACCCCCGGTTCCACCCAGAGCTCCAGGTAAATAGCTGGGATGGTTTGTATGGTCATTTGAGTTAGTCTTTGTGTTTCATGAGGGATGAGTGTAACAGGAGCTGTGGAATGTTGGGCACAAATTGGTTTTGGTTTATATCCACCCACCCAGGTTTTCAAACTACCTTAGTCTCTCAGTTTTACAGTCCTTTATGAAATGATGTTTTCTCTCTCGTGTGGCAGGTGTATCAGTGCCTTTACAGCTTGGCTTGCCTGATGCCATTCCACCACAGTATGGGGCACTGAAAGAAGTGAGCATTCATACAGTAAGAGCAAGGCTCAGACTGCTGTACCATTTCTCTGACCTCATGTACTCTTCATGGAGATTACTTAACCTCAGTCCCAATAATCAGGTAAAACTCCATTTAAAATATATATATTAGTCCTGTTGTGTTGTACCATACCACTAGCAAGTTTTTCACCAGGCCTCAGTAGTAGAGTCTGTAAGTTTTTTGGTTTTTTTTGTTATAAAAAATAAATTAAATATACAATTTTGGATTAAGCCAGGCTTTGTCAAAGTACCATTATATATTTTCAGTTATGTTAATATTAACATGCCAGTAGTTTTCAAAAAGTTGCTGTCCTCAAAGCTGTAAAAAAGAAGTGCCTACCTTCTTTGTGAAATATTGAAGTGCTAGTGAGTAATCACGAAGGTTTTATTCTACATAAGTGAACTAATGACCTTTATTAATATGCTTATTTTCATACTGCTTTATTGCAGAACAGTACATCTCATTATAATGCTGGAACATGGGGAATAGTTCAAGGACAGCTAAGACCCTTGCTAGCACCACGAGTGTACACGCTCCCTATGGTACGCTCTATAGGGAAGACCATGGTTCAGGGAAAAAACTATGGTCCTCAGATTACTGTAAAAAGAATATCAACCAGGTCAGTATTGTTTTCACAGGCAATGTTTTTGATACCAAGCAAATACTGATCTTCATACGTTTTCCATAACCTGTTGCATATCAAACTCTGTATGTCTTCATTATGAACAAATGACTTCAGTAACGTATTCACTTTTTTGAGTTACATTGTATGGCTGTGTCTTCTTTTCTTCAAAAGGGGTCGGAAATGCAAACCCATTTTTGTACAGATTGCAAGGCAAGTGGTAAAGCTGAACGCATCAGACCTTCGCCTGCCTTCTCGTGCCTGGAAAGTGAAACTGGTTGGAGAAGGAGCTGATGATGCAGGGGGAGTGTTTGATGACACTATTACAGAAATGTGTCAGGTAGGCAAAATCTATCAGTTTGAAATGCCTGGTAGAGTTGTTTGTTTTGTCTGATTTTGTTTGTCAGTTTTCCTTTATGCAACATAGCAATTTCTTCTTGTTCTTCAGTCCTGAGCCACAGTACTAGAACTGGCTCCGAGGGGAATGCCTCTGAGGGGGGAAAAAAAACCCTTCAGATTGTAGCAAGGAGATGGAAAAAAACCACAGTACAACTTAGTGTTAAGTAAATCCCCTTGAAGTTCTGCAATAGCCCCTACATGTTACAGGAGCATTTTGCAGGCACCCTTTTTTCCCCGGCCAATATTTTCACTAAGATTCCATCCATTCAGTTCTGTCCTCTGACAGATGTTTCATAAGATCGTGTATGTTTTCACATACGTGAAAATAAATGTCACTTCTCAGGTTCAGTTCAGAATTTATGCACTTTTACCTTCACTTGAGCCCAGATATTTCTGCTGTTGACAGCTTGCTGTTGTCTTTTCGAATTCATGATTTATGTTTCTTTCCTAAGCAGTTTGCATTAAATATGAGAAAGGGCTAATGAAAGTTCAGAACATAACTAATGAAAACATTTGTTTCATCTCTAGTTCTTGCAAAAAAGTACCAACAGGGTGTAGAGTTTAGGGCTTCTGATCATTTCCAGAACAAGCATCAGCAATGCATCACAGCGTAGTCACAGTAAAACAGCCATTATAGTCTGATGTAAAGGCAGGTCTTTAAATAAACATGATTTTATGAATAAAAATCACCCCGTTTTGTTTCTTTCCCTTAAGCATTACACAGGAATATTTAAGTAGTTATCATCACTGTAGTACAATATTCTGTCTTGTAATGTATTATATAATGTCACAATATTCCAGTTGTTCCCATGTAAGAATGTTTTTTTGTTGTTGTTACTGTTTTTTAAGGAACTTGAAACTGGAGTAGTAGACCTGCTTATTCCTTCCCCAAATGCCACAGCTGAAGTAGGCTACAATAGGGATAGGTAAGTTATCTAGAACTTCTTTTTACTTCATGTGTCAGTAGGTGAAAATTAACTTCTGTTTACTATTTTATTTATTTATTTTACCAAATGATGAGACTTCATGATTGCCCCTAGTATATTCTTTCCTCCAAGTTGCGATGCTGCTTCGACATGAAGGGGAGGGCATGTTTGTAACACAAACTTTCTGGCTTGCAGAATTGAGCATAGCATCAGGAATGTTGCAGTGTGTCGTAGCGATCACCCGTTGCTGATAATTGTGTTGGCAGTTACTGTGCAGTGCTTAGAAATACTTGATCTTTTGCTTCTAATGGAGCAGCATAGAAATTATACTGTAGCCTTCAATGTCTTTTCTTTCAGGTTTCTCTTTAACCCCTCAGCATGTTTAGATGAGCATCTGATGCAGTTTAAATTTTTGGGCATTCTCATGGGTGTAGCTATTCGTACAAAAAAGCCATTAGATCTTCATTTGGCTCCAATGGTCTGGAAGCAACTTTGTTGTATCCCACTCATCTTGGAGGATTTGGAGGAGGTAGATCTGCTCTATGTGCAGACCCTCAACAGCATTCTTCACATTGAAGACAGTGGGATTACTGAAGAAAATTTCCATGAGGTAAGTTATGAAAGTGATCGCTTTTAGCAGATTGACCTTAACACTTCTGTTTGTTTTATTGGGCTAACAGGGACTTAATGTGCATTTGGAATTGTTTGTGATCTGAGCATAATCTGGGTGACTGATAGTAAAATACTAAACACAGATCACTCCAGTGACTTAAGCTGAACAAAGCTTTTCTGTTTTGTGTGACAGATGATTCCTTTAGATTCTTTTGTTGGCCAGAGTGCTGATGGCAAAATGGTTCCCATAATCCCTGGAGGGAACAGCATCCCACTTACCTTTTCAAACAGGAAAGAATATGTGGAGAGGGCAATTGAGTACAGACTTCATGAAATGGACCGTCAGGTAAGAATCATGTCGTGACCCTCTCCACTGTTAATGTGAACAGCATTTTTTATTTATTTATTTTTTTATTTATGTAAGTTTGTTTTTATGTAAGCTTGGTTTTCTGCATCTCGGATGGGTCCCCGAGGATTGTTTTTCCCCTGCAAACTTTTCTATTTTGTTTGCTTGTTTTAGGCCAGGCCTACTTTCCTTAGCAAATGCATGTTTGACAAAAGAAATAAGTGCTATTCTTTCACTAGGTTAGTGCCATTGCAACTGTCATGCCCTCTTGGGAAACTCCACACAACTATACTTACTGTGCAGTATTATTAGGTGTCACAGCAACATAGTCCAGCTGAAGTAAACAGGATGAACAAACATTGGTTTTTAAAACTGTTTCTATTTTCATAGTTCTGTGTATTTTGTCAGTTGTGTAGTGAAGCCCATAAAAGCACGAAATATGCTAATTACTTGTGAGGAAAATTATTTTCCTTTTACTCCATGTATAGATATATGCAGGGTATTGCTACCTGCATTAGGAAGATAACTCTCTAAACAAGGTTAACCAAATCATGTCTTCTAGAAAAAAAAAACCAACTTTGTTCCAGCTCAGATGTATGATATCTGCACCACTTTTTGGTTTCACTGTTATTTGTGCTGGTAACTTGCACTTTAAGTTCTTCTATATTGTGTCATTTGCAGTTACTATTAAAAATAATTTCAGTTTTGTACCTTTAATATTCTCCAGAATTTTGAGAGAGGATGTAGTAGACCTTACAGGGGATGCATATGTATTTGGCAGATGTTCTCTCCTTTTACCCTGTTCCTCAGCAGATAAGTTGCCACTGCATTTGTTTGGAAGTTACAGTATGTGACAGAGGTAAGACAATTGCATTCCCAGTGTTTCTTCTGTTTTGGGCAATAGGTGGCTGCTGTAAGAGAAGGCATGTCTTGGATTGTTCCCGTTCCCTTGTTGTCTCTTCTGACTGCTAAGCAGTTGGAGCAAATGGTCTGTGGAATGCCAGAAATATCAGTTGAAGTTCTGAAGAAAGTTGTGCGATACAGAGAAGTTGATGAGCAGCATCAGCTCGTGCAGTGGTTCTGGCATACCCTGGAAGAATTTTCCAATGAGGAGAGAGTCCTTTTCATGAGGTTTGTGTCAGGAAGATCTCGATTACCAGCCAACACAGCTGATATCTCTCAGCGATTCCAAATAATGAAGGTTGATAGGGTAAGATGCTGTTCTTTTTATTCTTTTTTTTTTAACATTATCTGTATTTATTATTCCTATTTAGCTTAATCTGTCCATTGGCAATAGGAGCCAGGTTTCCATAATTGTACATTTACAGAGAAAACGTGGAGTAGGGTATTCTCTGAGGTATTAAAACCAAGGATCTTAATAGTGGAGGAGCTGGAACACTGCATGAATTGGGTATGAATTCATATGGTGCATTTACTGTAATTCTGTGATTGGAGGTCAAGACAAGCTCTTGCATGAGGAAACCAAACCTCTTCTGTTGTAACTCGTACACGGTCATTTTCTGTTGCATTTCCTTTTTTCATTTGATAATTTTTACACCCATAAGTTTGTCATATGACCGTTAACAAACTCTGAAGCCTGAGTTTTATAGTATGTATCCTTGAAGTGCATCGTGTACAGGATGCCTACGTTTTGCATTGTGTCATTGTTTTGGGCAGTGAAAGCACGTTCTCTAACTGTAAGAATCAAATATTTGGGCAAAGATAACAGTGGTTGGACTGTCATCTTTGGTTAGGTGTCTTTCACGTCACCTCATGTTAAGGCATGGTACAGTACATAAATTTGAATGTTGTTTGTTATCTTCCAGTGGGTTGCTAAATATTGCGATCAAGAGTTCCAATAGTTGTGTTTCCTTACCGAGCTGAGTAAGTCAGAGCAGTTGATATAACAGTAGTTTGTCACAGCATTCAGGAGACAGGAGATGTAAACGAGATGCTAGTCTGCTTCTTAAGAGAAATATTGAGGTAAACTGAGAAAATGCTGGACGATAGAGGCAGGGAAGATGGAAGCAATGAAATATGGATATGCTGCATTTTCTACTTATTCACAAACTTACCGGTGTCCCACCTTTTATCCATTTCCACAGCCTTACGACAGCTTGCCTACCTCACAGACTTGTTTCTTTCAACTGAGGCTCCCACCTTACTCCAGTCAACTAATCATGGCAGAGCGTTTGCGCTATGCAATCAATAATTGCAGGTCTATAGATATGGACAATTATATGCTCTCACGGAATGTGGACAATGCAGAGGGCTCAGACACAGATTATTAACATTCTGTGAACAAAATCATCTTCCTTTTACTGAAAATAGTGCCCTAAGTCCAATTTGTTGTTGACATAATTTTATGGTAACCATAGATGTTTTAGGAGCATAAAAGCAGATGTTAATAAACAGTGGCCACATTTTAGTTACTCTAAATGTAACAAAAAATTAGATGTTTTTATTTTTTTGTGATTGTAAAAAAGAAAAAAAAGAAAAAAAAAGTATGATCAATAATTTTTTTTCTCCTTTTTTTGGTCACTTTTGATAAGTTTGCATGGAGACATTTGGGTGCATTTTTGTTGGGAATAGTACATTTGTAAGCCCTCCCAGTGGACATGAAGGGTTGTACATTGTGTATAATTGTTCATTAGCAAGGGCAGTTTTACATGAATATTCACATATTTATTTTGTTCTAATTTGAATTGCCTGTGCAGGGTTCCTTATGCAGAGAAAAATAAAGCAAATTCGAGAATTGGTTGCTTGGATGCATTTGTGAATTGTGTATTGGTTTATTTAGTCTTCGTACTTCGTTTTGTCTCAGGAAATGATAGTATTACCATGTTTAGTCAGGCTGTGATGTTTGGAACACCCTGAAATGTTTATCTTCTACTGTCTGATGGGTAGGACTGTGCCCTGCGTTCTTCATGTCTTTGAGGTTCAGGTGTATCACTGTTTATGCCATGTACTTCAATACAAGTTAAAGTTGTACGTGATTCCTTCTTGACTTTCATTTGGACACTTTTCCAGAGTATTCCTTGTTGACAGTAATAATACACAGCCGCTGTGACTCAGAAACAGAGTGCCAATAAATGAAGGTGGCAGGATAGTGGTTGAAGCTGTGGATTTTATATACATTCCAAGTATCTGCCTTTGATGTTAGTAAACCACATGTGTTTGGTATCTCCTGCAGCTGTAATTGTGTTATAATCAGCAGTATTCAGTAACATTCGTACTTGGCTAGGGAAGTAATGTACTATTACAAAGAAACTTTTATTTGCATCTTAGGGAAGTGCTGTGGAAGATGATCCTCTTTGGTCTCCATACCACAACCACAATTTGTGCCCAGCTGCAAATGCTGTTTGTGCTCAGGAACACGTCGTCACCGGGCTGAAGAGAAGGGTGTGCTTCTCTGCTGCCCTGGCCTGATTTCCCCTCCTTCTCACTGGAATCCCTTGATAAGGGTGTTGTGGGGCCTCATGGTGGGGGAGGAAATTCATTAACCTCAACTCCCCTGGTACACGACTGGTCTGAGTCTGGAGAAGACAACAGACATTCCTATTGCTTGCGATTGCTGTAGGTTAGCAGGGATTATCAGGGAAACTTCCCAGTTGTCCAAGACTAACTGGTGTGTTGGTGCCAGCTGATGGTGCTCAAAGGGCTGAGTAAAGAATTGTAAAGAATTTCAGCTCCAGGTTGTATCTGGTGAAGTTGTTTCTTGCTGTTGGCTCGTGAAGAAGGCAAAAGGTTCTTCAGCAACAAGCAAGAACCAGGCTGTAGCGTGAAACAGCCAGACAGGCCCTTTAACAGTGCTGGGAGACGGAGGGCCAGGGCTCTGAGGTCAGGCAGGTGTAGTTTCCTGCTGCTTCATGTTTCAAATCAGGCAGATTTCTGCATCTCATCACTGTGTTGTGGAGGGATATATTCACATCTTGGATTAAATTCCAGGTGTTGTACATGTATATTTACATGTATATGCACTACAGAAAGGACTGTATTACTGTGTACTGAACCTCCTTTATGCCATTAATCCTTCATCATTTTGCCCGTGTGTTCAGTCAGATACAGAAGGTAATAGAACTGTACCTGAGAATTCAGTTTTGCACAGACTGTGTGTTTTGGCTCTTGAATAATGAGAGTATTTTTGGAGACAATTTGCAATTAAGTAAAAGGGGATGCTGATGTTTGTAAATACAGATGTTCATTAAACAGTTGAGTGCAATTCCTTTTTAAACTACTCTTGTCCTTTGCATATTCTATCTTAGCATGATTCAAACTAACTGCTTATTTTTATTTTATCCAACTGTTTGTTTTCACTGTCATGGCATTGTGCACACATTCCTTTCAATCTGCTGTTTGGCTTTTTTTCAGTTGCTTAGACATCAAAGTCAGACTGGAATTGTGTTCACTCTTATTGCATTGTGCTTCTCAGACGTAATTGCATTTGAAGGTAAAGAATGCTCTGGCTCAGTTCTGCTGTCCACTGGAGACAATCTGAGAAAATCATGTCAGTTTGAGAGTATTTTACATATGCAAACACGTTTGTATAGAAAAAGTAAATATTACCAGTGTGTATCTGCATTCTTGTAGTTTAAGTCATCTATAACTATATATAGGCATACACACATACACATACAATAAAAAATGCATGCAGCTCAGTCTTGTAACTTGCTAATGACAGAGTTGCTGCAGCAGGGTAGGCTGTGAGCTGTCTCAAAGCATCATCATTTCCCTTCTGCTTTTTTGCACTGGATGAAATGCGTTTGTAGCAGTGATAAGAAACGCATATCGCAGGTAGGAACAGGTGTGTGACAGTGTGTTTGTTCAGTTCCTTTGCAGATCAGCGCAGTATGGAACACAATATGCTTAAAGCATTAAATGCTAAATGTAAATAGAGGTGGCTCAGCCACCTGCCCTGCAGTGCAGCAGTACAGGTGTCTGTCGTGCTTAGAGGGGACTGATAAGAGCAGAATGTGATACTGAGCAGTAACGTTCTTCAGAGAAAAGGTGAACAAATGATTGGTTCAGGTCTGCAAATTTGATTTATATCTGTGATGTAACCCTTTTTTTTGACTTGGTGATGAAGTTCATGATTGCTGGTAAGTGAAGTTTTACTGTGTTTGACGACTTAGTTTAATTTCTTTTTGTACCTTACTGCCAAAATAATCTGTGTTGTCATAATGAAAATTTGAAGGGTCTTCCAGTTGTTGCTTTTCTCCAATTCACATTTTTAGACTTGACTGATTAAGTGCTGCATTATGTGACACAAACACGATTTTTCCACTTTCAAGGAACAGCAAAAGCAGAGGCGTTCTTCCTTTAAAAGGTGTGAAAACTCATGCCTTTTTCCAGTGAAGCTTTTACAAAACATTCAGCCATTTATTTGGACTTAAACCAGAGCGCAGATTACCTACAGGTAGTTGAAGTAGCGCCACACTGGAGGTAAGTGGAAATCAACCATCCTTATGACTTAAAGCAGAGCCATTTTTCTGGCCAATTTTTCAACCACCAACTTTTTTTCCGGCTTACTGTCTGGAATCATGTTAGCACTTCTCTCTGCTCTCAGTGTTACTGAGGGACGTTTTTCCTGAACTCTCTGCAGCCCGCTCTGTGTTATGTTCCGGCAGAAATCCACGTGCAGCGTTTGCAGTGATCCCCCATAGAGGATTGCTGCTTCCAGCGTCCGGTCAGTGATCCGCGCGCAGTTTTCCAGTTTGAGTGTCCTGAGACTTGGGCAGTTCTTGAGGAGAAGCAAAAGGCAATCATCTGTAACATGGCCGCATCCTGAGAGGGTCAGAGATAGCAGGTTGGGACATCTGAAACATAATTGTGAAGGTGAGGGGAGAATAAATGACATACAGAACTTGGAGAAGCCACTGTCTTGAAAAATAAATATTGAAGTTGAAAAAATATTTCCTCTTCCACCAGGGAGGGTAAGAAAGCATGATTAGGGAGGGACACAAATAGGCCTGAAAGCTCAGCTTTTCCTATCACGGCACTCTTATTTACCTTCCTTTGCTTTTTCTGTTGCTGTCAGCATCTGTAGCTCAGTTGGCAGAATGGAGAAGGGTAAGTGGATGTGTACATAAGCTGATGAAGACCCCGTAGAGATCATGGGTTCGGGTCAGAATTGATTTGTGGGCAAGTCAGTGAAGCTTTGTAGACATTCTGAGCGTAGGCAAGTAAGACACTTCCACTCTCATGATTTTATAGGGCTTTGCATGTGCTCTGCAACTCTTTGGTTTTACTGAGTGGGTGCCAGCATCTCCCTTAGTGGGGTTTGTTGATGTTTGGTACCCACACAATTCATTCAAATAATTGAAACTGGTAATAACTCTGTTAAATGTCGCAGAAAATTGAAAAAAGCTTTAAAAAAAAAAATAAAATTGTGTATGCTGTTTGTGTAGACCTGAGAAAGTGCTGGGAAGTCCTATTTCAAGTCAGTATGTTTATGATGTATGCTGCCTGTGCAGGCGGGTTCCTCGCTGCTACACTAACCAGGCATGTTTGCAAGAGCCTTATGCATCAACCCCCCCCAGTCTTTCTGTACATTGTTTGCTTTCTTGCTTACAGCTTTCTCTGAGCAGCACCAGGACTTCTTTAGGCTCTGTTGTTGGGGGAGAAGGTGATTACAGTAACATTAATGTTGATCTTGAGAGACATCAGTGCAAGACTGCCAGCCTACCTGTGCCTGCAGCAACAGGGAGCACTTCTGTCTGAAAATTTGTGCTCAAAGGTTGTACTGGGTTTAAGGTGTGGTGTACAGCAGTGGGGACAAACAAGGGACTCTCTGTTCTTTACCACAGCTGGACAGCCATAACTGCAGCATATTCTTTTTTACCTTAAAAAAGCAGTACACCCTTTTCCACTCAGATGCTGCTTTTACCCCCCAGATGCTGCTTGATTTCTCCTTTAGAGCAGAGGTAATAGTGAGATCATGCCAGCCACATTCTCTTCTTTTTGTGTATGCTTGTGAACAGTTAGAAAAATGTGTGCAAAAGTTAAGGAAGGATCTGACAAACCCATCTTGCACAGTTTCATCAACAGAACTGAAGTACTCGTACTTCAGAGAGCAACGTTAAATATTAATTTAATATTTCTTCTCTTGGTGCAGAGTGCTAGGAATTCTGTTGCAATGCTTTAGGAGGGTTGCTTCACAGACTTGGGGAGGCTAACATGGATGAGGTGCATCACTTAATATAACTGTCATTTTTAGGAGTGGAGATTTAACTTAAGGACATTAATGTGTTTAGAGGTGGCTGCTGAACTTGGATGGAATCCTTGCTTTGCATTTTGTACAGCAAATAATCTTTATACATTCTGTAGAGAAGGAAGACACTTCAGTGTTAAACTGTCTGCAGAGCAGTGGTCTGCTGCCCTTCCTGAATTCTTATTTGTGATGGTAAAAAATGGAAAAAAAGGTTAAGTGTGGCATCTTGGTGGATATGCCAGTGCCCAGAACGAGGGAATGGTTATTCCCATGCCCATCCTTCCTAGGGACAGATGTCTTTCCTAATGGTCTGTGGCTCATTGATCAGAAGTGTTTATCATCTGTTGTCATAGTTACTTAGGAATTTTTCTACTGAAAATTTGCATTCTATCCTGATCCCATATTTTAATCTTTTTTGCCCTGTTGCTGGTTCTCACTGGCACCCTGCATTCTGTCACTGTCCCAGTTTGTTGGTGGTTTTAAAGTGTTACTTCCAAACAGAGCTTTCTGTTTGGCACGTTTCGGCACTAAGCTGGGGGCTGGCTGCAGCACAGAGGTGTGCTGTTCCAGCTCTGATCTGGCCAGTGCCAGCCTTGCTGTTACTGAAATGCACTGGGATTGGTTCCGACTTACATTTGCTCCTCCTAATGCAGGTTAGCACTTTTTTTCTTAGAGCTGCTCTGTGGCACTGAAGCTGTTAGAAGAAGCAATGTGGTCTGAGAGTTATTTTTCCATAGTGGCACTTTTCTTCTACTGCAGCTTATAAAACCCACAGACACACAGACGTGGTTAAACTCCAGTAGTAAAGAAATACTGTTTAGTAATGCGCTTGTTTTTATACTTTCACAATGTGAAACCATGCCTTTCCCTCAGGAGTTCCCCCTGGTCAATCCTCTACATTGACCAAATAGTTGAGTTAAGCAGCTGTTTACTAAACAGTATTGCACTTTCCTGTATTAATTAAGCATTCTTCCAATAAAAGGGAAAAAATATAGGCTTAAGGAAAGTCGATGAGAAAATGCACTATTCCCAGTATAAAATCAACAGTAAAACTGCACAATCCACGCACTCACTCTCTGCCCCATTTCAGTCAGGTAGGTGGTATGGAGTTGAGTCAACCCTTCTAAATGTTGTAGTTTCAAAGCAGCTAACTTTTACAGTAATGCAGAATAAATTCCACACCCAAAGCACATACCTGTTGCCAACTTCTAGTAAAAAATCAGTGACAGTGTTCTCATGCCTGCTACAGAAGTCTTTCTGGAAATTGTTTTTCATCCAGTCCTCAATGTTACACACCTTGACTCTCTCTGAATACCAGCAGATGGACAAGTATTTTAAAGCAGGTCCCAGGAGAAAGTTACGCTTCTGTAGTTCCACTGGAGAATTAAAGTTCAGTAAAGACCAAAGCACAGGATCTTGAAACACTTCTAGCAATTTATGACATGTTTTTGCTAAACTTTTCCTGCTGTTTTTGTCCAGAAAGGAAAAGAGATGCAGGAGGCATTCCCGATTCAGCTGGGTTATGTGCATAGCCCTTGCAGCGTGCTCAGGAGCTGACAGTCTGCTGGCATTGGAATGATGGCAGTGCTGGAAGGCGTTGGGAACACCAGAATGCTGTTGCTCATATATGGTTGTGGAATGGTGTTTATTTTTGGCCAACAACTGGTGCAGAAGTTAAGAATGGAGAAAGGATAAGGGCAATGCGTGTTGAAACTGTTGTTCCTTCAAGGGAATGGAATGGGCATGTAGAAAACAGCAGGGGTTGACTTTCACAGAATGCTTCCTTATAAGGGATCTTTTTATTTTATTTATTTTTAGGCAAGGCTGTTACTTAGCAAAGAGCTGGCGCTGTGTTAATGAATGGGAAGGGGCAGACGGTAGTCCTGATGTGAGGGGTTGCTCTGCTGGCCTCTCGTGTTCCAAACTTAGCTTTTACAGCATATGGTAACTTTATTCCTTTTCATTCATTACTCTAAGGCTGCACTTTTGCCTCCTGTTCAATGACTAGCACACCAGAATTCAAGAGGCTCATTCAAAAAATTCCAGTAACAGCTGGGGGGGGGTTGGGGGGTTAGAATTAAAAGCAGTAATGACCAGCCCTGTGCCTTTCTGTGTTTGTGAAGAAAAAAGTGTGATGGATTATATCCATCTGTCCAGTGATATTGTTAACTCCTTTGTAAGTGTGCAGAGCAAAACAGCCCCTGAAGGATTTTTTTTTGTTCATGCATCTTTTTTGTACCTGGGAAATTTTATGTACGTATACATTTTAATTGCATTTGTCTCAGTATGAGAGGGTTAAATGGAACTGAAGTTCAACTTCTACTTTTTGGTCCGAAATGTCAGTTTGTAACTAAACTCTGACAAAAGAAGAGAAAAATCTATTTGCAGTCTGCAGCAGTTCTGTTACTTCTGATCATGGCATGAGTAATGCATACTCCTTGGCCACAGGGGCTCGAAGAAAACAACTAGTGGGCTCAGTGCAGTTCTTTCAAGTTAGTAATTTTCTTCTGTAAATGCTAAGTTGTGCTTACTGACTGCCTTTTTGGTTTCATATCCTTTGTCATTAAGCATTTTCCTTCAAGTTAGAAGGGTAGTCCTGCTTCCTTCCCATGCCCAGAAACTGGCTATGGCCAGTAGCATCAGGACTTTATCAAGCTATAGACAAGAGTAGATGATGTCACGTACCAGGTAAGTCAGTCACTGGAGAATTGCAGCTTACATGACACGATGCTGGGAATTGGTCTGTGTTCTCATACTAGCTTTTCAAACTCAGTCTCTTCCTACCTTGTTTTTAGAACTTACTTTCACTTTTGAAAAGGATAAAACAGTTGAGGCTACTCCAGAGTTGTAATTAACAAAAGAATATTATTTTAAGGAAAAACACAAGCAAACAAGCAAACTCTAATTATGAAGTTACCATTGCTGGGGGTGGTCTTCTGAAGCACACAGAGGACACACTGTGGTCTGACCAATTATGACAGCTGTTGTGTGACAAGACCTGGTACAGCTGGGTCCTCTTTGGGTTTAAAGGTTCTGGTTCTGATAGAGGTATTAAACAGTGAGAGCACTGAAATGTTCTTAACTGTTTTTCTCTGAAGTTAAAATACTTTGAGCAAGGGTGGCAAACTGATGAACACTAATGAGACTCTGAAAGCCTGCAGAAGGACAAGAGAAGTTTCACTGCCTAAGGAAAAAGAGACACTTTAATGGCACGTTTTCCATAAACACTGTGTGAGTAAGATGTAATTCACATTCATCCTGGAAATGCTCCAATAACACACAAGATGAGCACAGTCAGCGATCCCCACTGAAAATTACACACAATTTTAATGGTAAACAATTACAACTATGGCACTACAGTACTTGAGGATATCCTAAAGCACATCGGAATCAGTTTTCAAGGTGCCGATTACCTCATCAGTAAGACACAGACACATCAGCAATGAAACACGGGGGAGGCTGTTGAACACCAACTGTTATGCTTTCCACTGCTTTAGCAAAATCCTTGTAAATGGTCTTCAGCTTCTGAAACACATCCATTGCTCCCCACAAGCTTCAAACTCTCATCTCACACAGCTGTTCACACCTGGAAAAATCCCTTCTGCCTACGCAACGAGAAAGAGCTTCGTCAATGCTGTAGCATTTTGCATAATGCCACACTCACTTAAATGCTCAATATGCAACACACCGGAGCAGAAGTGTTCTGAGAGCTGGGCATTCTGCAGTTCTGTTTGACATAAATCACATCTCCAGTTGTGTACATGGCTAAACAGTGACTAACAAAAAAGGGTAACCCTCAATCAGACAAATTTTGATGAAAAATATGGAAGTCTCTGAACTGCAGAGAGCAGTTGCTGCTTGCAGAGCAGTCACAAGCAAGACAAATTCTTGCCTGTTAGCATGTACTATGATCAGCAGTTAAGTAGAAACATTTGGCTTGAATGAAATGAGATATCCCTCCCCTCCCACAAGCTAGTAGATAAATATAGGCTATACAAGTAAGGTTAAAAATGTAATACTAGGCCAGGTGCAGTATAGGTTACTGGTTCAGTGCTTACTTTTTTTTTTTTTTTTTTTCTTCTGACACCACACTGAATAGAATACAGTGGATAAGCAAAGTTCTCCACCAGGAAGAGAAATACTTGTGTTGCCACAACAAACTGTTCATGCTGTCCATCTGGTTTTGCAGTGGGAGAAAGTTAAATTAGGAAAGGGTTTATATGTATTTGTTCCAGGAAAGCATATGGCTAAGTCCGTACACCACGTGCTGCAAGAAACAAGGCTGATGTGATTGCACTGCGTTCCCATGGCCACATCTGACACGGACCATGCTGGATACCGTCGCCCAAGACCTTAACGTTACAGAGAAAGTGTTACTGAAAGTAAATGCTTAAGTGAGAAATTGGTCTGACCCCAAAAATTAACAGAAATAAGAAGCTGCTTAAAACAAGTACGTGAATGGCGATGAAGATTACAAGTTCTTACAATTACAGAAAGGCACATTTACATCACTAGTTTGCATACACCTGACTCCTGCCCATTAAACTGTTTCTGGCCCACAGCTAGTTGTGCAGTTTAAGGTTTGTATTCCCTGCACTGAAACTCCAGAAAACAATGCAAGCCAAGCAGCAAGCAGACATGGATGGAACTGACTTAATGCCCCAGCTGGGAGCAGCAGGGCTGCCCTCTGGGGTTTAAATGCTGTAAAAAATATTTCACATCCCACACAACAGTGAAGTCTGTCACGTCTTCTGTGTGAAACTGAGAAAGGGGAGCTAACAAACTATCTGCAGTTTAAACAATTAAGAGTTCTATTTACTGCTCAACTTGAGGATATATAGAATCTATTGTGAATATCTGTATGTATATATAGACTCCCATAATGTAATATATATAGATATGGGAGTCTGTATATATAGACTATTAATGGCAGTCTATATATACCATATATATATATATATATATATATATATATACACTTCCATTAATGTACCAGATAATCACGATAGATTTCAAAGAACGTTCAGTTCACATATTCACACCATGAGCAAAATGGAACATTTTCCACAGCTTTTATATTAAGTCAGTCAATCTCTCCTGGTTTAAGAAGAAAAAACCATAAGACTGACATTTTAAAAGGAACTCACCTGACCGTAATTTCTGTTCGTATTTCTACCAGGTAACCCACAGCAAGGAAGCAGGAGCTTACCCATCTGCACTAGGTTGAGCTACATAGTACAATTTGCAGGGATTTGGTCTTTTTGGAAGCATTAAATGAAAAGAGTACTCACATGTTAAACTTCAGTTCTTGGGTGTTTTCAGGCTAGTATATTCTACTGATAGCATGCTCTACGTGAAGTAAAAAGCTATTCTTACCACCAAGCTTTTCAGACTGCAGGAACGTCCGGTTAGTGGCTGGGCAGTAGGTAGATAGCTGGAAAGGGTGGGGCGCAAGGAAAGCACTGAAATGAAGCATTTGTCAGATTTTGGGTGTTTTCAGAATTCCTGGGTTTTGCAACATTTTCTCCTGACCACCTTTTTAAAATCTCACTAACAGCAATTATCTGACTTCCACTATGTGGAGGAGGAGTAGAGCTGAAAACTCTGAACAGCTGTCTTTCTCCACTGCATAGTCAGGTCTTACAAATTGCATCAATCCCACCATCTGTGTAAACCTTCAGACTGAAAATGGAAAGATCCCACACCAGGCTAACAGATAAATACTGCAGCTTACCGGAATCTGCTCCAGTCAACAAGCAGTTCTGCATTACCCTTCAGGCTGTTTTCCCTTTAGTTCGTATTTGAAGTGATAAATTTCACATCAAGCATCTCAAACTCCATCCGCTTCCTTTTCAAGTGAACTACAGGCACTGAAGCAGACAGAATATGCTCAGGCCTAAGGCTGTTCTCACAACCCCACACTTAGGGGCTGTGCTCCCAGCTCCCAGATGGAAAGAGAGCTGGGGTCCCACTGCCAGGAATTCTCTGAGTTTTAAAGCAAAGAAGTGTTCATGATCAAACTTTAGGATTACAGTCTAGGAAAGAGGCAACTTTTAACAATTCAAGTCTGATTAGAAAAAAATAATAAAATTAACCAAGACAATTTAGATGCATATATTTTAAGGTAATTTTTAAAGACGTTTTGGGGGTGGGAAAAGCATATGTGAAGAATACTTGAATTATTCTGCAGTATAGATACAATTAAACCAACTGTTTATTTACAACAATTCATGAAATTCAGCAGCCTGAATACACACCAATATAGCAGCTATAGCAGCAATTACCTGGTCTATAATGATGCTGCATTCACCTCTTCTGCAGACAAAGAATGATTGGTCAGAGGTCACGGCTTACTTTCTTGCACAAGGTAAAACATTATGTGCAAGCAATTCCTTGATCTATATAACAGCTGTGAGAGCAACATAGTTATACTGCTCTGTGTGATTAGCACATTTGTCTTGCTTGTGAGGAGAACAGAAAGCTTCTCTGATGTAAATGTGCCTTTAGAAAGTGAGAACTGGAAACATTAATATAAAAAAAGTCAAATAACTAGGTATTTCATGAAACTATATATATATATAAAAATTGAGTTATCACAACTAAAGCAGCAAATCAAAATCTGCTGAGGTTTTCTGGTATAACTAAAAAAAAGTTAGTTTGTGTCCAAGTTCAGTAAGTCAAATGCTACCACTGACATGACAAAACTAAAACCCACAAGAGGAAATTGAAAAGTGCACAATGAAATTAATAGTCTTGGATCAAGTATTTATGGAAAAATGGAAATGTTTTGTCCCGTGGACTTGATAAGTGAGAATTAAAAGGAGGTATTAAAGTTTATCTGATCCAGATTTGGCTTGCCGTTCCACATAGAAGAGGATGTAGGCCTTGGCCTTTACCACAGTCTCCTCGTCGGTCAGAGTTACAGTACTGTCGTTGAAATGGAACCAACGACCTTCGTGAGCTGCGTACGCAGTGTAATGTCCAGATCCAACGCTGTCAGCATGGCAGGGAGAAGACAGAAAGGACAATCAGAAAGAGACTGACCATTTGCTGCTAGGCAGTAACGGACTAAGAGACTTCCAGGAACTGACAGCTCTCTACAGCAGACGGTATGACTCTTCCCTTCTTCACTGTGGAGCTCTAAGTTCTCTGATTAAGGTTTCACGCTGAGTTAAATTTGGGTTTTTAAATATCAACTTCCTAGCATGCCACTGTTTTCGTGCAAGCAAGGCTTCTTGCAACACAGAACTTCCACATTTGCCTATAGGGAAGTCAAGCATTAGCTATGAAGATTGTACTGTGCTTTGTTTTTACAGAACATTTGCCCATTGAGGTCTAAAGAAACACCTAAATTTAATCAAGAGCACCCGCAGCAAAACAAATACTAGGCTACTAAAAAAAGTCCTTCAAGAGCAGTTTAAACAGACCCAAGCTTTGGAGCCACGTCTTGGATCTAAGAGAGCTACACCCTCTCAATTTCCATCCCCTGCCACTCAAGACAAGGCCTGCTCTCACTTCTGTGCTGCTGCAACACATTAATGGTTCCAACCACCTCATTCTGTCCTAGCCATGGCTGGCTCTCCCTTAATGCCTGTAGTTTTCCCTTGACCTCAAAGCACCAGTCAGATGCACCGTGGTGCTACGAAGGCTGCCTTTAGGAGTCTTGTCTCTTAGATAGTAAACCCTCTGTTTCAAGCAGAAAGAGTGGTTCTGCAGACAAAATTTTGTTTAGTATCTTTGAATTAAATTTGGATATCAACAAGGATTTGATTAATATGACAGTTTCCTTAGAAAGGACTTTAGAAGGGGTTTTTTTAAACCTCTTCACGGCCTGAAGTGATTTCTTAGAACTACAGCTTCTTCCCTGGACAGACAGCTGTTTTGTCACTACTGCAGTTATTCTCAACAGTTCCATCCAGGGTTGGGAAACAGGAAAAAAAAACAAAAACCAAAAAACCCCCACCAAACTTAAACAACCCATACCCAGCAATTTCACTTCAAAATACAAATAGTACTCAGCTTTGTGACACGTCTATTAGCATTCACTTTGAGGTTTCACTCCTGTAGGAGAAACGACTGTGCCACTACTACATGTGTTTCAAACACACACACTGTGGCATAAACACATATGTGCATTGCAAACTGAAGAGAAAAACATCTTTGCCTTATACTAAGAATGTTAAAATGAAGCACAAACGGCTGGAAGGACCCTTTATTCAGCGTTAGTTTTCATGCTTTTCATTCTTTCACTTTAGTGATTACCCCTAGAGACTGCCAAGGGGAATTCACGGGAATAACTACATCATAAACGTATCCATCTGATGTTATTTCAGCCCAGTTCCACAGAAGCTTGTAAATTACTGCATGTTTCCACCAGTGACATATACAGACATTCACCAGGAGAAGAAAAGCCTTAAATAAGCTGGCATGTAATTCAGTGAGGAGATCTCTGCCCTGAAGCAGGCTTACTCCATGTACTCACCCTGAGCCATGATGCACAACAACAGCTGCAAGGTCATAGAGACAGCTTTCTGGGCCACTGTTTTCAGGCTGCAGTTAAAAAGACAAAACTCTTCAGATCTCAGCGATACCTGCTGTAATTTGTAACAAAGACATATGTGATGTAAAGAATTTCTCTAGGAGGTTGCCATGGGAGTCTCCATACCTCTAACAGGTAACATTTCATGTCTAGGCCTCGTAAGGGAAACTCAACGTATGTATCAACTTTGTTTCTTAGATATGCTGTCCAGTGAAATCGTTTCAAGTGTAAGCATAGCACCTAAGGGATTAATAAAATAAAACAAGCATTAGAGGAACTGGCTGAATTTGCTTCTGCCTATCTGGAAGGCTCAGGTGTTGGTCCAGGAACAGCTGAGCAGCCGTTTCTTTGACAAACTGCCATGCTCTTACTTTTCGTGTTTATACAAACCTTTGGTAGTTTCTGAATCCAGAATTTTTTGGTGGACTTCTGTTTCTTTTTGCATTTATGACACATATACAGCTCTGTCTCATCAAGTTCTTCCAGGTCTGTAAAACTGCGAAGACAATCTGGAAACAAAAACAACACACGCAAATCTAAATCAAGATTATAGCAAATGATCTTTGTAACATAAAATGCAGCAAACTCAGCAGCATAAAGGTGCTCCTGCATTGCAGTCTTGTTAATCTACAGGTTGTGCTCCAAAAATCTGCAGCTGGCACACACCAGTGAGTTCTGACATGCAATGTTCCTTGCTCCTTTCAACAAAGACAGCTATAAGCAGTTCCAGAGGAAAAAAACGACTCCTTCAAACGAGATTCCTTCCACCGCTCAGCACAATGGTTTATTTCATTGTAATTCCATTACGTTCCAGTAACAAATGTTCAACTTATAGAAGTGATCTGGTTTTAAGTAAAGGATGAGCAGAGGAAAAAAAAGAAAAAAAAAATGTTTTTTTCACGTAGTGTTTTGCAATTTCCATCAGGTAGATTTATGAATGCATCAAAATTAACATCCTTTAAAACAAGATCAATCGCAGCAACTCTGCCAAGCTTTACAGGACTGTGTTCACGCTGTTTAAAAAGCAGAGACTCACAAGAGTCAATCTCACTCTGCATGAGGGGCACGCTCACAGAACGTGCTGTAAGCACAGTGCCTCAGCAGTACAGCTGTTACAGATTGGCGTACACAAATGTGGGCTGGAAAAACTGGACGAGATAGAAAGCACTGACCATGAAGAAAGCAGTGCCGTATTTTCCTGGGTATTTAGCTGACCTGCACATCTCAAACCAAAGCACATCTCCGCCCCAGTTTATTAAAGCAGCACTTCAATACGTAGTGATGGGTGAGGCATACGTGGAAAATTGTTTCTGCACCTTTTTCTACTGCAGCATCTGATAAAATCAGACGGCACATGCCACCAAGTCATAACCAGGTGAGTGTACACTCCAGTTCTTGTTAATGAGCTCGTTATCCAGGCACCCTTACCTCGTAGTGTGCACATTGGTCCATTTTCTTGATTTTTAGTACGTTTATTTCTGAACTGACTTGGAATATCTAGCGAAAGATCTGGGAAAACAAGCATAAAGAAAAAGCTTTAGGGTGGAATAAAACAGTGCTTAATCATTCCACACTAAACCTGTGGTCCAGGCATATGACACCTAAATGAATCAAATTTCAGATTTGCTTTCCTACCTTGTAGCACCCACTCTATGTATTTATTTATTTATTTTTAAGACAAGAGGCATCTTACCTAGGAATGGGTCAAATTTTCTAGATTCTGTTCCACATATTAAGCAGTTGACTTCATTTTGAAGAATGCCTCCAAAAATGGCTGTGACAACAGTGGAGGCTCCATTTCTAGGCAAATCAGAACATAGAAGAAAAGTTAGAAATCTGGTCTGGTCTTCATTTGTAACACCTCATACAACTAGTTTATCACTCGTTGCTGCTACACAGAGAAGTTTAGTCCACAAAGAGATACTGTTCATTCACAGGGCTTTCACCCATCCCAGAAGTGCCTACTGCAGGTATTTAGCTGTTGCAGTCCTTCACCACGCGCCAACAGAAAATACGAACTGAACTGCATATTCTTTACATAGATGCTGGGTATTTTAGTGCTGAAGTACTGGCTGAGTCCCTTTTTATCACACAGAGGTGCAGAGTTGGCAGTGCAGAGTCTGGCTGGAGACCTGTAACCAGTGGTGCCCCCCAGGGGTCTGTGCTGGGTCCGGTCTTGTTCAACATCTTCATCAATGACCTTGATGAGGGGATGGTGGCCACCCTCAGCAAGTTTGCTGATGATACGAAGTTGGGAGGATTGGCTGACACGCCTGAAGGCTGTGTTGCCATTCAGCAAGACCTGGATAGGCTGGAGAGCTGGGCAAAGAAAAACGGATGAGGTTTAACAAAAGCAAGTGTAGAGTCTTGCATCTGGGGAGGAATAATTCCATGCACCGGTACAGGTTGGGGGATGAGCTGCTGGAGGGGAGCTCTGCAGAGAGGGACCTGGGTGTCCTGGTGGACGACAGGTTGGCCATGAGCCAGCAGTGTGCCCTTGTGGCCAAGAGGACCAATGGCATCCTGGGGTGCATTAGAAAGAGCATGGCCAGCAGGTCAAAGGAGGTGATCCTCGCTCTCTACTCTGCCCTGGTGAGGCCTCATCTGGAGTACTGCGTCCAGTTCTGGGCTCCCCAGTACAAAAAAGACAGGGATCTCTTGGAAAGAGTCCAGCGGAGGGCCACGAAGATGGTGAAGGGCCTGGAGCATCTCCCCTATGAGGAAAGGCTGAGTGAACTGGGTCTGTTATCTAAGGTATCTAAGGTGTGGGGGGCAGAATGGTGAGGCCGGGCTCTTTTCAGTGGTGAGTGGAGACAGGACAAGGGGAAACAGCTGGAAACTGCAGCATAGGAAGTTCCGCACCAATGTGCGCAAGAACTTCTTTACAGTGAGGTGACGGAGCACTGGAACAGGCTGCCCAGGGAGGTGGTGGAGTCTCCTTCTCTGGAGATGTTCAAGACCTGCCTGGATGCCTACCTGTGCGACCTACTGTAGGGAACCTGCTTTGGCAGGGGGTTGGACTCGATGAGCTCTGGAGGTCCCTTCCAACCCCTACAGTTCTGTGATTCTCACAAGGTGCCCTGTGACTAAGGCTGTTTCCAAACAAAAATTCTTCCCTCACAGGTAGGTCAACCATTTTGTTTTGAAACTTCACCCTTCTTTGCTGCAAGTAATTTGGACTCCTTTAAATCAAGTTCTACATTTCTCCCATTTTGCTACCAAAGACAGCTTACATTGCATTAAGATATGCTAAGCAATATCTACCAGCATCATCATCCTCTACACTTCCATTAGGCTAAGTCTCTTACTGAATCTTTTCTGCAGATTAGGTAATGACTTCGTAGCCCAATGAGAACAAACCATTTTATTACACAGCTCTGCAATAACTTGCTAGTTTGTGCTTGTAGTTCTGACACTGCAAGCTTGCAAAAACCCATGTTCTGTATCAGTGCTCCACCTATAACTTAACAAGCAGAGCTGATATTAACTGTAAAGCAGAAGGAAATGGCTGCCCAAATAAAGGGACACTCAAAAAGAGAGTATTCACAGCATCCTCACACTGAAACCATTTAAGCACATATGACCTCAGTGTGCCTTTGACAAAAGGCAGTTCACTGCTACTGTATTCCACCTCTCCATGCTCACAGCAGAATTACTGTACACATCTCAAAGTTAAGTTCTCTCCCAAGGTCAGATACATTTATGCACACTGAAAACAAAACTGGTTTATTTTCCAAGCATTCTTTAATTCTAAGAGCAATTTTAGACACTTGTTTTTTGGGGAAACAGTAGAGCTGTCTACTATGTACTATATACTACCCAGTGTAGTCATCACTACAGAAAGGGAAAATTCACTCAACTTCTGATCAGAGAATCCAAGGACCAAACTGACCTGACCTTACTTCCTGAAGCAAATTAAAATGCTTTCTCCCCGTGATAGCTTTAATCTGAGAAAAAGCACACCCAGCAAAATTCAGGAAGAGCAGTATTTTAAGAGAGGTGTGTGGCCCTGCACAAAGCAAGAGGGTTGAAGCTAGATGATCACTGTGCTCCTTTTCAACCCAGGCCATTCTGTGATTCTATGAATAAGCAGATGAGTGCCTGTTTCAGGATGCACAACAACAACACAAAAATCAACAGTGGCAGGAAAACAACAACAAAAAAAACCCAGCAGCTTTAAGTGTGCGTCAGGTGAATAAACAAAATACAGAGACCATCTGCAGGGAAACTGCCTCAAGTCCAATAGAAGCTGCTCTACTTTCTCCCTAATCTACAAGGTCCACTGACAATTTAAGCATTCAGCTACTTGGCAGCCTTTTTGCCTGTGTATTTTTCAAGCCATCTATCACTCCAAAAGAAGATAATTCCATATGCATACAGAATAGGAACTACACAGATTTTTTTTCTTCTGAAGTGTGTTTACAACTTACTCTGTATGCTCACAGCCAGGAAAAGAGTGCTCATCTGAGGGCCATACTTCCTTTTGAAAGGAAGAAGATCCTGTAGGACCATAGTCCATGTCCCTGCAGCTTTGTAACTGCGACGTTACACATTTGCTAAGGACAGCTCGAACAAGGAAACGTGCACTTAAACTTTCAGATCCGCCACCCAGACCTACACAAAGGCACTAAGGTATTGAAGAAATAATTAGAAAACATTTCTTACATGCAACATTTGCTGCTCGCAGACAGGCTAGAATTTTCTTGCAAAATTACTGAACGTGAAACACCATTAAAGCCACCCTGGAGTTCCAGGTGTAGATGGTCCAAAAGGTAACGCATGAACTCGTGGGCATCCTGTTGCTGGTAACCCCTTGAGCAAAAACAAAAACAACATCATCACCAAAGGTTTGGGCTGTATTACTTTGAGACAGAGCACATCACTCAGAACAACATACATTTGTTTAGCAATACTGAGCAGGATTTAAAGAGCCGTGTGTATTTTGAACCGAAGCCCTCAGAAAGATACACTGATGTGCAAACAAACCACAACCTCTGTTCCCTCACAGCCCCATCACTGTGCAGCTATCTCCATGAGGAACTTCTATGGTAAGTTTTATAATGGAAGAGCTGCTGCAGAACTGTTACAACTCAGATATCTGGATTCAGCCAGCACTCTGCTCATCTCAACTCTGGACCCAGTTATGGTCAGCATTCTGAAGTCTCAAAACCGGTGCTGTTCAAGGACATCACCAAACGTATGGGTGCCATGTCAGAATGACCACATGCTCTTCATTTGGTACAAAGCCATGTGATGCTTTGGCAGATCCAGTTGCTTGCTTGCCTGCTTGTTCCCCTCCCCACTGATACAAGGAATTTATTCTCAGCGTTTGGTTTCCCACATGCATCTCTCACTGACAATGCAAACTTTGAAATCGTTAAGAAAAAAGCATATTTAATACAGGTATCTCCTGCTTACTGAACAGCTGTTTATGATGATTTTTCATCTGAAGATTACATGTATGGGATCTACTTTGCTTCAGATACCTTCCCAACAGCAACTTCCTCCTCAAAGAACTCCTAACACAGTGCATTTGATCTCCAACAGGTATGACTAAATAACCTTTGGAATCATTCCATGCTGTTGGCTGTGATCCTGATGCACGGGTTTTACGCTGGCACACAAATAAGTTATTTATAGATGAAAGATTCTCTGCATTTGATAAAAAGCTCAAATCTAAATGCGGATCTTGAAAAGACTGTGAGGATATGGATGAACGCTCTTCAGCTGAAATGCAGAGTTTCTCTGACAGCTTGTGTAACATCCCTGATCAGACTGTAATATCCCTGATCTGACTGTAATATCAGAAGCCCACTGCTGACATCCCTTTTCCTACTGATAGCAAGATATGAAGAGAGACATTTACTAGGAGAACAGAGCACTCTATTTATACAGCAGTAAGACTACAAAACACACATCTTGCAACTCAGCATGAAGCTGCAGGCTATTTTGGCACGCAGCAGAATCAAAGCAGCACAACGTCAAGGAGCAGGACTTTGGCAGCAGAGCTGGAGCTTAGAGACACTCTGGCTGTGCTTGTCATATACAAGTCTTAAAAACCATAAGCAATATTCTCTACACAGATTACATGTGAGATGAGACAGAGAACCATCACGAGCCCAAGCAACCCTTTTTTTGTTCAACTTCCTGTAACAAAGTCAGTAACCTTCTGAAAGAAAAGCAGCACTTGCAGTCCTGGAAGCAGGCACACGCCTTCAACAACTGACATATCTTTAAGCTTAAAAAAAATTAAACCAAGTTTCCAAGTATGTTTTCTCTCCCTGCCCCCATCACTTCATAAGCACAGCCAGAGCAGCCATTCTGCTGTTGGTAAGCTATTGGTTCCAGCCACCTTTCCTGAGCATCTGTCCAGCTCCTCCGCTCTATCTGGTGAGCAGCACACAATGCACACCAGGAACACCATCACCTTTTACAAGGTACGGTCAAGCACTGAACAAGCTTTCTCACTGGACCACGTGGGAGCAGGGATTTGCTGACCAGCTGACACTGCTCTCCAAGTGATTCCTCACCAGTTAATCATGCACATGTTCCCAGTTAAGCGGGAATAAGGGGAAAATAATTTTAAAACCCTAAAACAATATAAAAGCACTTTTAAAAACTCTGATAGAATCCACAGTGCTGAAAATTTGCTTGAGGAACTCCAATTGTTTCTTGCTTAGCCTATCGGGAATTACAGTGAAGACTGTAGTTGGAAAAAATGATCAAAGACATCACAGATGGAGGTTTTGGTCACTGCATGAAACCACTGGTATTAAACTTCCTTGATTCTCTTAAGCCAACTGAAACAGACTCGGCAGTGTGAAGAACAGAATAAGACAGCTTTCGTTATTTGGGTTACTCGTGTATGCTCACAGCATCTTTTCAGCACTGCTAGAGGCGTAACAGATAACAGCATCTTTACTACCTGAGAACATGGAGCAACTTACCTTCATCACAATATATCCTAACAGGTTTCAGTGCTCCTTTGAAAGAGGTTCAGGGGCCAGGACAGGGAGACCTTGGAGAGGAATGATACTTCAATTTACTGGAGTAACCATTGTCTTTCTTTTTTTGTCAGTATGGGCACAAAATGGCTGGTTTTATTACAGTCCTCATTTCACGTCCAACTAATGATGATAACTGTGCTTTCAGAGAATCAAGGAAGTTTTACCCAGTACATTTGCATGTAGACCTGCACATTTTTAATCTGACTTCATCAGTTTATTATTGGAGCAAGCTTGGAATATGACTGTGACCTAAAGGCACTTTTGCTTCTTTGCCACGAGGCACAAAGTATCTTTACAAGCACTTTACAAAGTGTTTCAGCATTTGAGATCTCTGCCATCTCCATCAGTGTCACATGCAGCACATGATCAAAGCGTGGGGAAAAAAAGATCTACTGACAAACACAAAAGCAAACCTAAGTAAAGATTTTTTTCCAGGAGTATTAATGGGCACACAGGAAGTCTGCATTCTCCATCTCCCACATTCAGCAGGTTTGAGATCAGGACACCAGCAATACAAGATTACAATAAAAAATAATAAGTTACAAAACTTACCTAAAATTTGGCATAATTTTCCAAACAACATAAAATAAGGACTCTGGACTAAATGCAGTTTGGCTTCCTTGCCATAGAGCACAAAGTGTCTTTCTGAATTCTTCCACCAATGAACTGGAAAGAAAGTAAAAGCTGGTGATGAATATGGGCTTGCACTGTAACTCCTGAAGGTTTACTAGCTCAGTGGTACAAGTATCAGATGTTATCTTGGTTAAAACTGTAATGACTGAGTACATTCCAGTACTTGAAAGAGTTTGCCCAAAATCCTACCCATAACATCAGAGGTGGACAGGTTAGGAAAATTATATTTCAGATACTGGAAATCTATGTACCCTTCACCATTGTGTTGTAAAGTCTACTAACATGGTCACTTCAATGCTTGCTGAAACAAGTTACAGGCTCTGAATGGCACAACCAAGTGGCAGTATTTAACTAGCACTTCCTCACCTTACCTTAGCACTTCCTGATGTATTTGACTGCCTCTCCCTGCAGGACAAGGCTGACACGTGCCCACTGCAAGCAGCAGTTCCTTTTTCTTGTGCAGCCAACTATTTGTCTACGACACTGATCCTATAGGGATCATTTTCTGTGATTCTCTAACACTGAAAGTGTATAGCAGCTCTACAAGTTCAGCATTTGCCATTTTCATTAAAGTTCAGTGACAACAAAGATGACTTTGCTTACACATTGTTATCTCCCTGGCTCCTGGTATGGTAAGTTCTCCTGCCTGCTGTCTTCCCATTCCTCAGCTCCACAGCAGGCAATTCTTTGAAGTAACAGCAAAACTGCTGAATATTACTGGGGAAGAAAAAAAAAAAAAGGAAAAATGAATGAAATCCTTAAAGGACAGAGAGTAAAGGGAAGATGTAATCCTGGAGTCTGTTATTTGAAATCCATGAACGGAACTTCACCTAGAGATGATAAATGATGGCAACAGGAACAGGTTGTTTTTTTAAACATTTTCTTCCACAATACTAGAAATACTGTAACAAATACTTATCTTCTGTAAATGAGTGACTGAATCCGTAAATACCACCATCATCCCAACTACCTGAAACAACTACATTTTGGCTCTGCTTTGACAAACAGGTACTGTGATAGAGTTATCAAAAGCACTCCCTAACAAAAACAAGCTGCAGCTGCTAAGGAAGTTAACAGTGTCATCTTCTACCTACTGATTCTATGCTCTGCTACAGAAGTCCCAGTAATGGACCTGTGCTTTGTCTCTGGCAAGCTCAGCCCTGACTGACAGCGAGGAAGTACCTGAGCGACTGCAGGATGGCATTCATGAAACACGTGTTCCCCAGGTTCCGAAGGCCTGTGGCACAGAGGGCAGTGGTGCTTCCCTGGAAGTGAGGATGCTTAGGTTAAAGATGCATACATCCCTGCTCACCCACTTTCTCCCAACAGAGCTGTTACTGTGACACCAACACAAATTTTAACAATCATTAATCTACTCGATTTGAAAAACATGGTTTCAAAGCCGAAGCAACCCTGGCAGTACATTTTCAATGTCACTAAACCCAAAGACTCTGCAAAGCAGCAACTGACTGCTTTGCTTCTGCCATCCCTCCCCTCTTATTTCCATTCATAATCAGAGCTTCTTCGCTTCCCACTCAGACAATTATTTCTCGTAGCTGAAGACAGCCATTACTTCAGCTGCACTGGAATTCACTGCTGTGCTGCAGGCCCAAGGGCTCAGGAGGCAGCATTCTGCTCTACGCTCCCTCTGGTGAAAACAAGGCAGTCACATAGAGCCGAGTCACTCTCTCTTCTTTCCCCCTCCCTGAAATCTGTGAGAAATTATGTGGATTAGAAGATCCCTCAACTCTAACCACCACAAACAGGCATTTGGTTTGGAGCGTTCTTTGACTGGAAAATACTGTGCAGCTTTTCAGACAGAGCTGGACTGTGTTCTCCTGGGTACTGCTCAACAGACATGAAGTCAAACCATCAGGAAGGTGGAACGTGAGAGGGAGCACAGTCTTCAGCATATTTCACAGCTGCTTTGGAAAGCAAATTTCATCAGTTGTTTCTTAGAAGTTTTAAAAGCTCTCTACTTTTTCTTAAAAACTACTCTCTCATCCCCCTTTAGACAAAGGCTTGCCTCTCTGTCTTCTTTCTGCGCTCTAAAAGGAACAAAATTAAATGCCCTGTCTGCTCAAAATAAAGTGAAATGAAAATAAAACCTTCCTTGTAGCTGTTTTAATCTCTTGAGTACTACCTGTTTTCCACCTCGCTGATCTTAAGGAACAAAGAGAAGCTCAAAGTGTAGGCCAGCAGAAGCACAGCAGAGTATCAAATGTTATTTACTGAGAAGAGGCTCTTTCCTCAGTGTGGTCAGGAGATGAGGAAGACAGAATAAACCAGGGAGGAGCTGGTAGCTGGCTAAGTACTTTAAATCTAGCCCAACTATAAACCTCAAAAGGTTTAGCAAAACTGTGTATTAGCTCCGTTATACCTACATTTACTTTTAGTAACTTGCTGTTCAGAGATGAGTTTTCCAATAGTTTTCTTTTCCTGTGTCTGTCTGATGTAAAGGCTGAACTGTTGGGAAGCAAATAAAACATGTTAGTATAAAACAAAATCTTGCAGGAAACGGACAACAGATAATCATCCCAATGTCTTAACAGTTACCACATCTGCCATCAGTTGTCATTAAGACAGCAAAGAGCTTCCTGATCACCACATGTGCATTTCATAGTCTGAAAACAGAATGCATAGAGTACAGATGCACATCCTATTTTCAACACCCAGGTCTGAGTTAACTGTGTTAGGCTATGCATAGTGCAGTGCATGCCCTGAGACATCCCTTGTTACGTGCCACCTCTGATCTGAAATAGCCTTCATCTTCTCCCACGACCAACGGAGTGCTTAATAGAGAGTTTTCCATAAAATACTTCTGCAAGAGTCATCCTGAACTCTGAGAAAGCCAGGACGAAGTGAAGTACCAAAGACCAGAAGCACCTGAAGTGCAGTCAGTAATGTATTGTGCTTCTCTGATGTGTAAATACACCAGGGTGCAACACCTGGGTAAGACTCATACAATGCCACAACAAGAACAACAGGTTTCTCTTTTCCACAGCACCAGAAATCAGGGACCCTGGATTCTTCCACTCAGGACTTCTCTCTAACAGAACGTTCCAGCTTTTAGGCTTTGCTCTATTTCCATTTTGTTTTTGAATTGAAAAGCCCTCCAAACATCCAGAAGCTGTCATTAGACATGATGGAATCCTCCACCACAACATCTGCCTGCCTCTGGACGAGCAGCATCTCCCAGGTGTGCTCTCACTGTGCCCACACAGCCCTACATCTCACCACATTAACGCTACTTATGAAGTCCCCAACACGCTGAGGAAGGACACAGACACTCTCTGGATCGCAGCGACTTCTCAGAGGAGTGCTGTTGGAACTCTGGGGCATTTCAATACATTGGGAAGCACTGTATGCACATGCGTTTCCACTTAGGATTAGGGAAGATTTGCAAGCAAACTAAGAAAAAAAATATTTGCTATCTAGCATAGGCCACAGCATCTGCATCACAGAGATTATAGTATTTACTTTTCTATGGCAGAGAGCCAGAAAAAGTCACAGGAAATGCATGTTTCTTCTGTACGGTTTAAGTTCATAAACTTTTCTTTGTCTTTCTGCTTGGAAACCAAACTATGCAAATAACACGAAAACTACTTCCACCAACATTTCAGTTTCAGTTTCTTTGCTTCAGAAACTTTTTTTTCTGCTTTTGATGAAACTGTGATTCTGTTCTGGAAATCCTGTCCTATTTCTAAGGAACAACATAGGGATTATTGACATGGGAGAAAGAAAACTAATGAATTTCTAAATTCCTGCACATGCAGCCTCTAAAGGCACAGCATATAAGAAACAAGATGTACATGATCAGCCAAACCTCTTCCATTCTGCTCCTCAGTGATGAAAAGGCATTTTTAGATACACACAGTATCACTCATATCGCAACCAAAACACATGTACTAAATATGCATAGAGAACAGAAATCCCATTTAAATTCTGTCAGCCTACCCAAACCATAGGTAGTAAACACACCACTTACTTTTCCAAGTTCTGTAGGTGCTCTCTGACCTTCTGCACCAGCCCCAGCTTGGTATCATTCACTACAAAGTCATCACAGCGATAACTGCAAGAAGATTTATCAGAAGAAGGAACATATTTATACATACAAGCTTCAAGTAAAAATACCAAATCAATGTTAATCCAATTTCAGTGAAGTACTCCAGAGCAGTCAAGCTGGAAGCACTGCAGCAATTCAGTGAAAATTACGAGGAGAGGGGAACACAACAGCAACAAACTGAGCCTGGTTCCCTCTGACCAGTGCCTTACAGCAAGAGATGGTCCAGGCAACATTTCATTACTTGTTATTTATTTCTAGCTACTTCTTTATCAGAAAGCAGAAGCATTACCTATCACTCAACTTAGTACACTGTTTGAGTTAAGCAAAAACTCAAACTTGCCACGTCACTGAAAGCAGCAGTAGGCAACCCATGGAAGATTTATGGAAAGAGGAACTGATGTCAGTAAATAGAATATGAAGTTTCTAAATCAACGTGTAGCAGAAATCCATTTATTTGAAGACTGTAAAACTACCATTAAAACCTCGTGGGTTTGCCATCAAGAGCTGCTGAACCGATGCGCAGTGCTGGAGATTCTGCCACGGAAAAAAGAGCAGGGAAGATGAATGAAGAGACATCGTGATCCTTCCAGCTCACACCAGAGGGCCGTGGCAACTCACACCTTGTGTACAGCCACAAACACCACTCCTTTTCTCACCGTTTTTGTGCGTGCAGAAGCACAAACACAAAGAGAGCTGTGAGACGCTTCCAAGGCAGGAGTGCAAAAATAACTGAGCTACAACAACAAACAAGCAAAAGCTGATCCCCACTGCCTCCAGGTGAGCGCAAGGAGGAAAAGCAAAATGGTCTCTCAGCAGAAACAAGGTTGAAAAGAACCAAGCCACAGATATTTACAACAAATGCCTTTCTGTCGCTTACTGAGGATCCCAAATCATGCATAAAGAAATAAAACTTAAAAAACAAACAAACAAAAAAAAAAAACAACCAAACCACCAAAACAAAAAGCCAACTGCTTCCCTCTGGTGGAGATGCTCCTAGTAATATGGGCTGTTTACGCTGCTTACTTGAGAGCTCACAGCCCAGCATTACAACACCTAGCTCTGCAACAACAGGGTGTCAGCAGCTCCAGACCTGCTGTCTGTACCACACACCACCATCACAAAAATTAAACACAAAAGCTTTAAGGAAAAATACCACAGCAGTGTTAAAAGTAGTAACAGTTCCTATGTAAACTATGGTTCAGTAAAGGATGACAGCAATCAGCAAGTTCTGTGATCTTCTACAAAGATTTCACATTTCCATGGAATGCCATGGACTCTCTTATCCATAGCTAGCTCTTCTAACCATTTTTTGAAGGCAAGAAGATGAATGTATACAGGGGCTGTACAAAAAGGCTGTACAAAAAAGGTGGGGAAGGGAAGACAAGACTCCTTAAAACTAAGGAACAAAAGCTGAAGCAGCATGGAACAGCCCAGGAAGTGGAGACAGCATTTAAGAGCATCTCACAGGGCCAGCCAACAAGCAGCTCACCAACAAGACAACCCATATTGAGGCATGAGAAACAGGAAGGCAAGAAAAGACTTCACACCACATGCACCGGCTCACATGAGAGCAACCTGCATAAAAGAAAGAGCAGAGAGATCCAGTGTGCTCCTCAGCCTTGCACAAAGGCTGCTCAGCTCTGGGGCCCTGGTAGCCCTGTGGCATCCAATGCAGCTCTCACTGGGCATCCTTAATAGCACAGCTCTCACTGCTCCCCTCCTTGTTTGGCACCGACTCCACTGTGAAACACATTCCCATCATCAGCTGGAGCAGATCCACGCTTTGTAAACTAATGAAGCTATCTCGACTATCAGGCACAACTGGAATTTACAACATTCTTTGCTGTGCAAACCTGTGATGTAGTACAAAGGCAACAGTACTGCCAATGTTAATTCAAACACTGAACTCATCAAGGGATTGCAGAGTTGGGAAAGTAATGCCCTTCCCATGGCAAGGAGCCTGCAAAGCAGCACCCAGGATGTCTGGTTTCTTCAAGGGCTCTTTCATCCGCAAACAGAAACTTCATACAACTCTCAGAACTTCCAAACAGCGAACAGAGCAGCCGTAACTCTTAGATCTTAAGTAAGGAATCCACAGAAGAGCTATTGCTAGAGATGGGTTTTTGAAAGCTCGACACAGTTTTGGAGGGAAAGAAGTTTGTGAATGTATTCATTTCCCAGGCACATTTTAATTAGTCCTGTTCACTTCTGTCAACCATTTATGTTCGTGCACAGGGACTGAAAGCAGAAAAGTTCACTGCAAGTCTAAGCTACCTTATTGCTGCAACTAGAAGAGCTGATTTCACATCTGCACACCTGGACTTCCACTCTGAAATGCAATTACAGGGGACTGTCCTGGTTTTGGTGAGAATCAGATACAAAATTCAATAAACCACATTAGCTCCAGCAGTCACAGTATTTCATCTCCTTGGACTGAAAGGGATGGCTGCAACAAACCCTGCACTGCGCTCTCGTGACTGCTAAAGAGAAGGATGGGATGAAATTAAATGCCTTCTCATTCTAAGAGCCTCCACAGACATACCGCCACCACCCAGCTAAGGAACACAGCTACTGAGAATCCACAGGATGAAAGCAGAACAAGAGTTTTCCACACAGCTCAACAAAACTCCACAACTGAGAAGTAGAAGCGCTGCAGAAGAGCCTCTCAGTCATCTTTATAGAAGGAAAATTTAATTAAGTCTTAGGATTGCATTTTCCTGACTTTCAAATTACTGAGGTTGCCCACACTGCTTTGCATAGAATATTGATTTTAAATAAAAGTTCCCTTGGAAGCAACATAATTGCATAAACATCCCAATATCTCACAGCTTCACATCTACACTGAAGAAGCTGGAAACAACATTTTAAAATTCCATCTCCAATAGCTGGTTATGGCTGGAGCTCACCCAACCATTTCCTTCAGTGGCAAGCACTGGTTGACAGCAAGTCTTACAGAACTGCCCAAAACACAGGGGCAGGCGTCGGTCCAAATGTTCTGTGCTGCATCTTCTTACATCTAAGCTCATTTCCATGGGGGTGGGGGGAGGAATACACACACACACATACGTGTTCGTGTATGTATAAGCATACATAGGTATACACACACACATGTATATATACACAAGAGTGCAATACCAAATCCAGGTATTTGTTTTCTGACAACCAAAAACCCCAAAATATTCTAACGAAAGCAAAGATATGCTGCTTCTGAAACTCGCTCAGCTTCACGTTGGCACAGCAGACTTGTAATCTGTCAGGGAATTATATGCAAGAGGAAGTCCCCACGGCAAAGCTCTCTGCAATTAGTTCCAGTTCAGCCACTGATGACTCAGCCTTCTGCTTTGATTACAGCAGAAGACAAATCACATGCTGAACTGCTCCTTCTGCCTTCTATTACAAATATGCTGTGAAACACCAGTGAGCTTCCAAACAGAGTGCCCACCCTTCCTCACAAACACATTCTGTTCCAATAACACGCCACTGTCCTCAGTTTGAGCGCCATTCTTTGCAGTGCAAAATACCTAGGTTTGAGATGAGGTCAGCAGGGAGCTGTGCTGTGTACACACACAAAGCCTCTGCGAGTTCTGGCAGAGCAGGCATACACTGTTTGTCAGTGGAGATATGATCAAGATCTCCAATATCCCACCAGAATTCCTACATACGTTATTACTTTTGACGTGGTTTAAAAAAAAAAAAATCACAGCTCAGAATTCAGTTGTTAACAACGTTAATTGGGAAACTGGGATTAGCTTCCCACAGCTGTTCCAATGCTGGTAATACATGTGCGTGTTACTACTTGGAAATACATGTTTTCACACAGGAATGGGCAAAACTGGTGGTCACTGATGTAAAATGCAGGAAAAAGCAAAGTCCCCATACATCATAAAGCCACCCCCATTTTACTTCCCTCTGAGTTTAACAACTCTACAGCTCCTGTCACTGCTACACGCACTGCCCAAGTCATTTCTGAATTGCTCCAAGCAGAATTTCCTCAGGCAGAACACTTTAACTGTGGTTTTACTTGCAAGCAATAAAAACATTTGTTATAGAATTGTTCTTCATAAAATGGACACGCAAACTTCAGCTGATAGATTTTTCCCCCATAAAGTACACAAAGATTTTCTGAACAAAACAGTACCCACCCGTGGAGCTCTGCATGCAAGTAATTTTACAGCACAGTGCCACTGATCTCCCTAAGGTCTGCACTATTTATGTCCTGCACACAGCAGCCTAGGCCATGCTTCTGTCAACAGAACCACTTCCATGACTCTGCTATTTAATCTTGTCAGAGAACTTGATGCTGCCTCCAAGCAGGATCCATCCCTCTCCCAAACTCACACACAGCTCATACCAACTCACCATCCGAAAGAGGCCTTTTTTTTTCCCCAAAGTGAAGGAAAAAAAGCATATTGGAAACAAACAAACGTGCATTTACACATCTCACATTCACATCTCTTAGGCAGAATGTATGGCATGTTACTGAACTTCCTGGCATTACAAATAAAGGATCCACGAACGGCTCATCCATTAGGTGAAAGGAGTAAAGTTACTGAACAGCAGCAATAAAAAGGCAGGTTCTAAACAAACCCAAACCACACATGTATGTGTATGTAACACACACATAATCCGCATGGTTATATTTACATCCAAAAGTTTGAACTAAGCCACTGAAGCACAGGAGTGCAGCCACAGCCAGTGCTACACAAGACATGCAAAAGCAGACGGTTATCTCATAACTGCTTTAAAGCAGTCAGGTCTGGAAATCAAGAGATGAAGTACATAATGATGTATATAACGCTCCACAAGAGTTTAAAGTTTACAGCTTCCCGTATGTAAAAGGTTGTCAAATTACTGCGTTGAAACTCTTACCAGTATGTACTGTAGCTACTGCAATCCATACACACAGTATGCTGAACTTTTTCTTGTTTTTCTGTTTTCTTATGATTGGTCATAGGAATCTGTGCATCTTCATAATGCTTTTTGGCGTGGCCATTCACATATCTAAAATACAGGGAGAAAAAAAAAAGCGAGGCTTTGTAAACAATTATTTCACCAACATTTGGTGAACAAAGCAGAACAAAAATAACAAAATCCACCAGAACACATCACAACCTAACACACACGCAGTATCATAAAGCATTAAAACAGGCAATTCACCTACACAAAAACATCAGTCAACTTGATTTTTTTTAACCTGTTTACTCTCCCACTTTGTCCAAATCAGTTTTTCCACTCTCTTAGCAGCCACACACAGGCATCTCTGTACCTCTGCACCCAGGGCCAGCACGTGGGCCCTCACCAGGCCCATGCACCTCCACAACCAAGGAGAGCACTGTTCCTGTTTTCCACACTCATAATGTGGTTAGCTCTACATATTATTTTCCCATCTATTTTTCTTGGAGGTCTCCTTTGTTTTCCCACCCAGCACTCATTTCTTTTGCGATTACTTTAGCAGCATGGGTCACACAGTGAGAAAAGAATCTGAAGTCCTACAGCTCTTTTGATGGCACAGCGAGCATTCTCAAATCCAACTTGTGAGATACCTCCCCAGAAAGTCAAGCATCTTCAATTAATAAAAGTCATTACAAATGCAAGAGTCCTAAACATCAGCTGACAAGTAATTAACTCTTAGAAGTGCATGGCCAGACCAGAGGTGACTTCCACACCCCACACACTTCTTGCTTAATGCCAACTGCCAGGAGTTCTGCCCATCCCCACATGAAGGTTTTTCTGGTCTGGATTTGTACTCTCATGCAGGTACAAACAGTCCTGCTAATGCACTGTGCTAGTGGAGCCATGTGGCCAGGGACACTGCTGTGCTGGCAGAAACCAGAGCAGACAGCCGTGCTTGCAGGAGGTGGCTTTTTGGCTGACAGTGCAAATGACAGGTCTATGAAGCCACACTTCCACCAGAAATGTTCTGGTGTTGTAATTGGTTGGTAACGTTCCCAGTGGGACCTGGAGGATGTGTTTCAACCTCACCAAGTTTATTGACAGCATCCCAGAACAAAAGCTCACACATCAGACACTAAATGGTAACATTGCCTACAGACTCAATATTTTATTCATCAGGAACATTTTTAGAGAAGCAGTTTTTTGACAGTTACCCTGACATACAAACAATAGCACTGACTGTCTCGTTCCCACAGAAATTCTTTCTGTGCTCCAGCGGATGCAAAATCAGTAGGTATGCCCTGAAGGAACCTGCAGAAGCCCGTACATGGCAGGATAACTGCTCTGTTCCAGAATTATACTGCTACATTTATGGTACTTTCTGCCTAAGCTGTGCCCAACTTGGATTTGAGGGTTTCCATCTTGAATGGAACCTGACGACTGCCCACAGCATTAGCTGCTCTCCAGACACCTTCGTGGAATAATAGCTTGACATGGCAGGACCTCCAAGAGCACAAGTCCCAGTGCCCAGCTGCAGGCAGGTTGCTAACCACGCACCCAGGGACTGAGCTGACCGATCACATCCAGCACTCAGGTCCCTTTTGGGCAGTAATTGCACTGGGTACATTCTCCAGACTCTTAGAAGGTAGCAAAGAAGCATGTTGTTGTAAGTACACAGCATCCAACAAAGCCATGCAAGGCTTCCTTCAGGGAACAAAGGCATTTGGGAACCTCTTGAACGAACTGCCTCGGCCAAGCAAGCAAGCAGAGGTCTGGCTGAATAACTTCCACACCAACACTTGATACCCACCTTCCACAATGGACACTGGAGCACGTCAGACAGACCCACGGGCTTTTATTTGACCGGCACACTACAAAAGACAGAAAAAGAAAAGTGTCAAGGTTCTGCTGTTACACTTACATAATCCACCTGGAGAGTAGTTACACAGAGCAGCAATCTGCTCATCAGCCCACACCGCAACAGCAGCACTGCTGCTAAGGCCCTCAGCCTTCTCTTTGGCCTGTTACAGCCCAATGAAGTTCTACATTTGTTGTTTGCATTCCATCTGTGTGAGGTCTACTTCATTTCTGTGTTGCATTTCAAAATATCAGAAGCCCAAGTTGTAAAAACACTGGGAATACTTAAAGCATTTATTTTCATTTGTAATAAGGCAGCTCACTCAGCACAGAAAAAGCATAAAAGCAGAGTTCTTCACTTCTGTTTCACAAAGCCTGTTACACAAGAAGCCGTTTCCACACATGAGAAAGCCTGGCCATGTGCTCAGCAGCACACAGATGAAGTACCGTGTCACACATGAAGATACATGCCATTCCTGCAATAATTATGCCCGTGCTGCATGCTGGTAAAGGCCTTATCCAGAAGGATTTTGGCCTCTCAGTCATGCACACATTGCTGAATGCTTCAAAAGCAGCGCAGGGCTGTGCTCTGCAAATAAGACATGAGAAAACCACCTTACTGATAACCTGAGTTTTTAGCTATGTCTTCTAAGTCTAGAAAAGTGAAATTAACTTTGAAATGTTTAAGCAAAAGGTCTGGGTAAGAAGCGGGAGATACTAAAAACTGATGGAACACCATCCCAGGGTGGAGACACACAAACTGCACACCCCAACTCACCCCAACCCAGAACAGATGTCTCTAGTGTTCATGTTAACAGCAAAACAACCACAGAAACTCATCTGTGCAGGCAGAACGCAGAGAAACAACAAGGGAGATCAGCAGCCCACCAGACAGGTACAAACATCTGTGTAGGCCATTAACACAGTGTTTACAGACATATCACTGCACTTTTAAATACCCAGGTAATGTGATGGAGAAGGAAAAACAAGAGGTGCACTTGTGTAAGGACAAAAAGCAGCAATAAAAAGATAGCTTTGATTTTCCCAAAAATACAAGAGCATAAAATACCACCTAATTTTTCTACACATGAAAAGTAACTGCCAGTCAAGGGCAGTGGAGGGAGAGAAGAACAGGGTCAGTTTTGAATCAGAAGAGCAGTCAGTCACTACCTTAGGTATTTAAATGAGCTGGTATACTTTTCCATCATTCAATTTTGCCTTTTTTAGTTAAAACCAGATATTTAAAAAAAAAGAACAAAAAAAACACGCTAACACTGCTTCCTGGAGAATTACTTTCTAGTCTGTACTTATTATGACAAATACTTGTATTTTAATTCGTGGGCCCAATCCATGGAATAAAGATTGTATTATGAGGAAAAAAGCACAATCATTTCTGCATGCTGTGAAACAGCTGTGCTTCCCCATCAGTGCCCCTTGCGCAGTGCTTTCAGCCCTTCTGTGAAGGCTGGAAGTTCCTTCAATTGCTGCAATTACTGTACTTGGGAAATCCATTTGCTCACACTGTCTCTGCTGTTGCTGGATTTTCAACAGTGAATTCTCCCATTTCTCAAGCTGATGGCTCCCAAACTGTGATGGCAGTCTTGCTGTGGATGGCACAGCGCCAGGCAGAGCAGTTCTGCCCTATTCTTCAGGTGTAAGAGGAAGAAGTTTGTCAAAATAGAAAAAGTTGATTAAGAAAATCCAAATTTTACTCTGACAAACAAGAGAAAACAAAGGGGAAATCGTGGCCATTGTAAGAACAAAACATGCAAAATGGACCACTGGTCTGACTTGATACTACTTCATTTCCCCGAATTACAGAAACTGAAAGGTAAAACATTAACCAGAAGGAAACAAAGACAAAAGCATTCCCGTACTTAAACAAAGATATGGTATCAAATAGTTGCTTAAGTGCTGCATGAAAAAACAACCAATTACAAATCCACTTCCATCACCCTACATTTGCTCTGCCAGAAGCATGAAGCACTCGTCCCTGGATGAAAATTCTGGCAGAGATCTCCCACCTGTTCACTAGCATCCCTGCTGTCCCTATGTCGTCACCTGTAGTTGGGATGGGCTCTCAATCTGGAAGCCCAGGAACCAGGATGCAAACTATTCATTTCCTCTACATACCAGACTACTGCAGTGTCACATTCAGGTGCTGTAAGCACTGTGTGCCTAGGGAGTGCTGAGCTACACTGAGAGGGCTCCTCTTGCAGCACTCACACAGAGTGCATGCTCCACACTAGGCCTGCAAACAAACCCACAAACTGCACGCTGCCAAATAATATTGTTTTCTACTCTTTACATCAGAAAGCAGGGGAAAAAATGGCTCACTTGTTTGCTTCAGCTTTCAGGAGGAACTTTGCTCCAATTGCATCACATTAGAAGTGCGTAGTTTATCTTCTGTGCAAACATCTCCTCCCACAAAGAGCTCAAATAACATGGAAGTGACTCCCACGAAGATGAAACACAGCAGTATTGCATCTCTGACCTACAGCTGCTCTGTTCCATGGGGATTTTTGTTCCGAGTTGTGTAACTCCTTTTTGAAGGTTTCTGAGACCGCATTCTGCATTTCTGATGCTGGCTCAGACACCTGCCCTCCCAGCCTGACTTTCTAGGTACTCTTCAGACTCTGAAGCCGTTACTGTCCATTACTTGCTGTTAAGAAAGTAAGTTAGGCAGAAATTAGCCTTAATCATTAGCTAGGGCTCCAAAAAGGCAGGTACAACAGAACACACAGCAAGAAGACAAGAACTGCTCTGAGCTGCTTATAACCTGAATTAGGTTTTATCTGTAAAGAAAGCATGGGTTATTCCTTTCAAACATAGTGCTAACATGAAGGCACGTGGCTTCAGTGTGCAAACTCCTTCTCCATTCAGAGCACACTGCACCGCCCTGGAACATCACCCTTCAAACAGACCTCTAGTGCTAATTACAACAAGGAGGAGGGGTGCACTTCACTAGCAGCCTCCAATTTGGAAGAGTTTTGTCCAACACAAACCTTAACAACACAAAAACTCATCTGTGCTTGTTACCTTTATTTAGTACCATACGAGGGGCACACCAGCGGCTTTCTAAAGTGGAACCACCGTGACCACGTGCAATGGTTCTCAGCTGCCCCACTGAGCTGTGCTTTAAGAACAGCCCGAGCTGTAAGGCAAAGAAGGCTCTGACACGCCAAGAGAGAAAGGAGAACAAACCTGCAATGCCACCGGGTTGTTCAAAACAGGGCACTGTTTGCCACTGCACTTTAATACTGGGTCATTCAGAAGGGCAAAAACTCTTCCTCGTGTAACAAGAAATGCAAATATCATCTTTTACAGAATGATCCAAACAAAACATGAATGCCTCTCTGCCATACAGCCCACAGAGCCCTGTGCAGATGAAGAGCATCGATCCATCCCGAGAGAGGGCACAATCAATCACCACTACATACAGACACGTGTCTCACACAGCTGCTCCTCCCTGTCCCTTCAGCTTTCACTTCCCGTGAAGCACCCTGACAAACAACGTTCACCAAGTTGCATCAAGCAGAACGGCTGTGACACAGCCAACACAGCTGGCACTCACACAGGCCCCCACCCATCTTACCCTCACATGACCCAAATGTTACTCCCGAGCCCTGGCCGCTTTTCTTCCTTGCAGAAAACAGACTCCGAGCACAGCCCTATGATGCAAGAAGGCTCCTGGCAAACCCTCTACTCCTGCAGAACAGAGCTGCAGTTTTCTGATGTGGGAAAGCTGCAAGTACGCAGAAATGTACAAACAACCTAGGAAGAGCTAACAGTGCTGTTTAATAGCATGCTGCACCATTTAGAAGCTGGCAAAAGGAGGAACAGGATGAGCAGGAGGCAGGCACGAAGCAGTTTTGAAGCAGTTTCTGCAGGGCAATGTCCCTGCGGCAGAGCTGATCTGCCATAGCCAGAGCAAAACTGACCCAACGCAACCGCTGAAGCACACCTGTACCCCAGCTTTAATACAGTCCTTATTATATCGCTATGGAAAAGGTCACTTTTAAAACATCAGCACCATCAAAGCAGTATTCTGGTCCTCAAGAGCACAAATGGAAATGAGAGTAGAGTCATTAAGCTATTTCCAACACTGCATCCTTTACAAAAATGGCCTGGACTTTGCACTCCAAAGGAGTGGTACCGACACGAACATCTTCCTGCTATAACCAGGCGGTTAAATTACACTGGCATAATGGCCTGCACAGAGACAGCTTCAGCCTCAATGGCCTTCCTCCAGTTCTGCATTTGTTGACATAATAGCTCAGCTATACTGATAAAAGCTGGACTGGAAAAGGGCACTGTTCCCGCAGCCAGTATCTGCACCAGCAGCAATATTTACATAGCTGTGGTTGCCCTGGCATACTGGTATCACGCTATGCAAACTGTCCCAGAAACAAGCACTTGGTCACACACACACACGCCTGCTATACATACGCAGCGTGTTGCTGTGTGTCTGTGCAGACATACATGTGCATCAGCTCCCAAAGATTTATGTGACAGTGCTTTTCAGCATTCTGGAGAATTCAGACTTACTCTTCCTTTCCCATACTTATAAACCGTTCTTCCTAACAACCCCTCCCTGCCCCAATTACCATTTTGCACCAAGGCATCATTATTCAGTCTTGCTCCAAAAAGATGCTGACCGATACTGCAAAAAGAGCTGGGCGGTTCCTATGAACACACCTAGCAGCCCAGGCACGCGTGTCACCTCACCTGCAGACAAGGGTAAGATATCCTAAAACTCAGCCCTCCACACACAGCTTTCAGGGAGACTTGCCAAAGCAGCTCTGAATTAACTGCCTAGAATTTCCCCAATGCAATATATAATATAGAGTATCAGGTATCTGAGAGAGGGAACTGTGAGAACCGGTATTCTAAGAACAACTGCTCCAGTCATCAGCCCATGAGAAACACCAAGGAGACAGCGTGCCAGCTGATGCTCTCACTTGGGCTGGCACCGCAAAAAGGCTCTGCCCACCCCTTGGTCTGCAGCTCTGCA